GCGTGTTGTGTTAATTTTCCACCCACTGATGTAAAAACAACAGTAATAACAATGATTAACATCAAAATATGTAGCAATGAAACAGGGTTATTTTCCATTTAATTCGTCTTAACTACTGGAACCACTGCTGTGCATCTTCAACCTGTCCATGAGCGTGGCCAAGTTTCCAACAGACTGGAAGTCGTCCTTTATGTTTCCTGTTCATAAGAAGGGTAGCAAAACTGATGTCAGCTGTTACCGTGGAATAACGTGCCTCTGTGCTTGCTCAAAATTGCTCGAAATTATCGTCTCCAACTATATGTTCAACAGAACAAAAAGTCACATATCTACGAATCAGCATGGGTTTTTCCCCGGAAGAAGTGTAACCACAAACGTCACTGAGTTCACTTCGATCTGTCTTCGAAATATTGGGCAGGGAAAGCAAGTAGATACAATATACACTGACTTGAAAGCTGCATTTGACCGGGTCAACCACTCCATTCTTCTGGCTAAACTACGCAAGTTGGGCTCATCTGCCAATTTCGTTCAATGGCTCGAATCATATCTCTGCAACAGGACTCTTGCAGTAAAGATTGGATCTTCAACTTCTGACTGGTTCTGCAATACCTCCGGTGTACGTGTACCTCAAGGAAGTAACTTGGGACCGTTGCTATTTTCGCTGTACATCAATGACGCAACTGTGCTTCTGGAAAATGGATGTTACTTTATTTATGCTGATGATACAAAAATCTATGTGATCGTTGAAAACGAAGACGACTGTCTGCGACTCCAGGAGGCACTGGACAAGTTTGCATTGTGGTGTCGCACAGTGGACACCGTCCATACAAATCTCGGACAAAAATCCAAAAGTTGTCTGAATTTGATGGAAACTTCGTATTGTAGTGATTTTTGGATGCTGCGTCCGTTTTTGAAGATTTTACTTTAAGTGGCGATCCATAGAGTACGTCACGCTATATTGAGGGAAAATCAGCCCTCCTCTCTCCTCTTTCAATGCATTTTGCCTAGACTTAATACATTGTTTGTCAAAGATTCTTCATGTCCCCTTCCCCTCTTAGGGCGTGACGTACTTTATAGACGTCCCCTCATCACCTTACTTGAAACCGCTTGAAAAACGGTTTTTTTACCCGAGACGCGCAAGGTCGAGTGTCATATACAATTTATCATTAACAATATCTTTTGTGTGTGTGTGTGTGTGTGTGTGTGTGTGTGTGTGTGTGTGTGTGTGTGTGTGTGTGTGTGTGTGTGCGTGGCTTTTCCAAGAAAAAACTTCTCGGATATTCGGAAAATCCATGGAAATTTTACTCAGCCTGGTCTATACTAATAGCATCAGAAACACAATAGTTAAACCCTTTTCATTGTTATATAAATTTTCTTAAAAATAACAGACATACTAGGTGGTTTACACGTTCTGGGCAGTTCCGAGGAGAAATTTAGATCAATTCACGAATACCTGTATCGCGAATACCTACGTTGCTGGAACAATGCAAAACGAATGAATGAACGATTTCTGACAGCAAATGCAAGATAGTTGGATCAATTCATAGCGATTGGTGGAGCTTCCAGTTCCAGTTCAGGTTCGAAGCGTGGTCAGCCAAAAAAGGAATTCAACAGCAGTTGCGATAGAACCAAGCATCGCAAAACAGAGAACCTGAGATGAGCTTGTAGTTCGAGTGAGTAATTACTTTAATTGGTTATAACTTTGTTTTTTTGAAACTAGTATTGACGCATTTCGTGCCAAATCGTATTCGGATCTGGCAGCAACCTCTCAGATTTCAATGAAACTTTCTTCAGCACTTAAGTTCACTTTGATTATTCGAGAATATCATATGAAAAGGGCTAATGATGCATTTCTCGCCAAATCGTATTTGGAATTGGCAGCAGCCTCTCAAAGTTCAATAAAACTTTCTGGACATGTAGACCATGTCAAAAAAATATCATTCCATTATGCTGTTGTCTACTACTGAGGCAAAATCTGATGCTATGTGTGAGAAAAAAGACAAGATTTTTCACATATCATTTATTTATATATTTTCAATGTTTTAAACCTATTTTCATACATGCTATTTTTTTCCTTTTTCCAATCAAGTTTAATATTTTGGCTCATCTTCTGAATTAGAACACCTTTTTGCCACTACTTTATCACCAGTTATAGATACAAAACTGTGGAATTTCTGTGTGCCAGATACTGTCTTTGTGCTGTTATATAGTTCTTCGAGTTATTCTGACATGTCGATGTACTGTTCAGTGGATATGTTCTCGAAACGAAGTTTTGTGATTTTTTTTTATCTGTTTGTTCAACTGCCCAGTTATTTAATTCTCGTGGAGTTGTTATGGTGTTTCCATAATCTCGAGCAAGACTAGCTTTCTTTGCCATTCGCTTGAGAGTGCCACCAATGGCAGACAGAGTTCTTCAGTAAACTTGGCCTGCACGTTGATAAACCTCATCCTGGTTTTGGCACAAGCAATACAGGCAACACCGCCAGTCGTTTTTTTGAAAATGCGGAAATATCGTCGGCAATCACCCATATCGACTTGAATTTCATAATAAGATTTCGGACCCTGTTAACAGCTATTTCTAGTGGAGAATCCATTGATTCTGAAAAGTTTCAGAAATATGCCACAGACACGGCTCGTCTGTACGTCCAACTCTATGACTGGTACCACATGCCGACATCGGTTCATAAGTTGCTGATTCACGGACATTCGATAATTCACGAAACATAAGTACCGATTGGCAAGCTTTCAGAAGAAGCTCAAGAAAGTCTGAATAACGAGCTTCGGAGGATGCGCAATGACAATGCCTGGAAAGGATCACGAGACAAAACTCTACGCGATGTATTTTGCGGATTGTTGGTAGCATCAGATCCGATTGTCACCAGTTTTCGGCATGAAACAGCTAACGCGTCGAGGGATTTGCCTGAAGAGGTGAAGTCGTTAATAATTTTTGATAAGAAAAATTATAGTAAGCCTGAATTCGAGCCCAGCGATGAGAGCGATGGCAGTTGAATGAAGTACATCAATATGGTTTGAGAGTAAATAAACGTATTTGAGGATAATAACCCATATCAAAATTTTCATCGTTAAATATCATCTCTATGAAAAGTGGACTAACAAAAATCAAAGCATCGCAAAATCCTTTTGTGTTACAAACTACCATGCGTCTCCACTGGTTTTTTTTTCTTGAAAAATCGTCTCCAAAGTTTTTTTTAATCATACCTTGGGGCAAAAAGGGGCAAAACAAGATGTACATTTCCAAAAAGTACAATAATTTTCCATCATTGTGCACTACAAGCGATCTTTTCGAACTGTTTCAAAAAAGGTACAAGCTCCTTAAACATTAAGATTTGCAATTTTCTGAATGCCTTATCATTTATAGTCGAATGTAGGAAAGAGAAGGAAGACTTGAATTGGATAAATCGAATGGCAAACATAAGCTGAATAAAAACCCTTCAAATTAAAACCATTTTGATCCAAATTGGTTATATAATTGAAAAGATATATTCATATCAATGGCAGAGGTTTGCTGTTGTTTTTTTAAGTAAATTCTCACAGTATTTCTCGACCTCCTCACCTTTGAATAGCTGCTAAAAACATAATTTTCTTTCAAATGTTTTGATATTGTGGGAAAACTTTGTTCAATATGTATGTAAAAATAAAAAAATTTCAAACCATTGAAAACCAAAAAAATAATTTTTTGATTTAAGTCCAGCTTGGCGCCATTGTATGTCGTGCCAACAATATGACCCTCAGCGTACCTAAATGCCACGTCATTAGCTTCCACCGCAAGAAAAGTTTCCTTCAATATGAATATGTTATCGACGGAACCACCCTATCACGCGTGCAGACAGTGCGTGATCTTGGAATTACATTGGACTCAAGTCTCACGTTCAGGAACCACCACGAAGATGTTATTGCGAAGGTACGACGGCAGCTTGGTTTCATTGGAAAGGTGTTTCAAGATCCTTACACATTGAAATCACTGTATGTTAGTCTTGTTCGTCCAATTCTCGAGACAGGCTGTATTATATGGGATCCGTTTCATATCACCGTGATCGATCGCATAGAGGCCGTTCAGCGCAAATTTGTGCGATACGCTCTTCGCAACTTACCGTGGAATGACCCGGTTAATCTGCCACCCTACGAGAATAGATGCCAACTACTGGGATTGGAAACGCTGGAACAAAGGAGGAAGAACGCGAAAGCTGTATTTGTAGCGAAACTACTGAACGCCGAACTTGATGCACCGAATCTTCTTGCTCTCATCGACATTAACATTCCCGGCTATGCACTCAGGAATACCGAATTTCTCCGCTTACCACGCTGGCGACAGGACTACGACGGTAACGAGCCAGTACGTGCAGTCATGCGCAATTTCAACGATGTTTATAATTTGTTCGACTTCAATGAAAACTCTGTTCAATTTCGCTCAAGGCTAAGAAAAATGAATTGATGTTGATGCTAAGAATTATTCATTAAGACAACAAATTGTCGGATGAAGATATCAAAGTAATAATAATAATAATAATAATAATAATAATAACAAAGCCTTTGGAATTTTTTCCTTATTAGAGATTTGAATAGATTTTTTCTCCTCTACTTAACTTAAATCTTTGGTTATTATTAGTTAGGTAGGTTCCGATTCTACACGTTGCAGTTTCATTTTTATAGCTGTGATCTTGACATTTTTACCTAGGGGATGAGTACTTAAGGGGGTTAGGTTTTTGATAAGTCTTTAGTGGTAATGACACTGACTGCACATTGTAGTCGAAATACGTATCTGTCATGGATACCAAAATTAATTAAGAGGAATTAAATGGAAGATAACCCTGTTTCTGCTGCTTTATTGAAGCATTCCGCTAACAACCCAATTTCATTACTTCATCATGTAGCAATGCATTTTTGAGCCTGAAAACTCATCGGTGATTTTTGTGCAGTTGAATTTAGCAAGCCAAATTTATAGGCGAATAAGCCCACGCATGAGTTTTGAGTATTTCCGAACATTGATCGGTGTTATTGTATGATGCAAAGAAATCCGTTTCTGACTAACAAAGGGGTGAACCTTTGGAGGATGTTCCAACACTCCGAAGGGTATTGTTGACACCACTGGGCTTCAGCTGTACTCGCGACCGGCCTGCCGTGAAGTGAGATGTGAGAAGCGAGATGTATGCGTCACCGGTCTACAGCGGTAGGACCGTCGTTGATTGTTTACATCGATTCGTGGAGAAGTAGAACGGAGGATACAAACAAAAACAAACCCAAGAGATAGTGGAGGAGCTCAGTTTTGTTTAATAAAGTTGTAAAATCACAAACAAATCTAAAGTTTAAATCAGTTTTCTGTGGAGGTGGTATTTTCTTAGTTTAGTGCTAAATAATCCGTAAGTAAACAAAATGAAATGCACTATACTTACTAGATGTGACATAAACTATTTCAATATTAGGGTTGACTTTCTAAATCGGATGATTACCTGCCAGAAGCTGAAGATACTATCAGAATAGTTCCGTAAACAAGTTGAATTAATTGATTGATTGTGAGTACCTATAAATAATAAGATTAGAAGCAAAACAATTAGAAACTAAACTTACCTATTTAGGACTAGTGTTGGAACTGAAAACAGCAGCATAACCAGTGTCGTAGCACGAGGGATTAGAGGGGACTATTTCTTGTAAGTAATTTAGTAATTAATTCAAGGTGAAATAGTTCTTTATTAAAAAATATATTACAGTTGAGCTGCTTGAAAAGTTGCTGCAAAAATTTAGTCATATTCTATAATTGATCCGAACAAACTCAAAAGAAATATTGAGAAAAGGATCTAACCTCAAACATGATGCCGGGAGATGCGAATTTCACCAAGACCGCCTGTGGAGGCTGCGGATCGGTGTCCGATGAGGATGAAGGCATGGTATGTTGTGACAAGTGCAACGTTTGGTACCATTACCGGTGAGTGGGAGTCACGGAGGAAGTCGAAAGTGACGCAAAGTGGTATTGTCCTGAGGAAGACTGCCAAAGCCAGAAGAAACTGGACGCAGAATCTTCCAAAACGGGTGCCAAAAAGAAGAAGAAAACGACCGACGACAACTCGGATAAGTCCAGCGTGAAATCCGACGGAAGGTCTGGCTCGTCGATGGAACGTCAGCTCAAAGCTCTTGAAAAGGAACGGAAAAAGAAAGAGCAAGAGCTGAAGAACGAACGCGTTCTGATGGAAAAGCGGATGGAAATCGACCGAATCCTTCAAGAACAGCGGATCGAAATGGAGAACGAGTTTCGGGCTAAGGAATTACAGCAGCAAAAACAGTTGTTGGAGAAGGCGCTGAAGGACAAGCAAGATCATTTGGACCGGATGAAGAAGATGCGGGAGTCGTTCAATGCAAGGATGGATCAAGTCCAGCAAGAGTTGTCCAAGCTAAACGCTGGTGAAGATGACAGAAAGGAATCGGTGAACAAAGTTTCTGATGCCGTGAAACAGTCGACCGCGGGAACACCGTTGAAGAATCCGGAAATACGTAGCCAAAAGCGATCGGAGAAAACCAAGAAGGTCGAATCGGATGAAGAAGAGGAGGAAGAGGAAGATGAAGAGTCTGATGAATCTAGCAGTGACGATGAAAGTGAGGAGCAGTCTGAAAGCGACTCGGATGAGGACACCGAAGAAGAAGACGAGGAAGAAGAACCCAAGAAGACGAGCAAAGAGAAAAATAAGTCAGGAAAAGTTAGATCTCACGGGCTGGGACAGTCTAATGCGGCACCTTCTAAAGCGCAAATGGCGGCCCGGAGTGGAATCAGCAAGAGACTTCCACTATTTACTGGAAAGCCTGAAGAATGGCCGCTGTTCATTGGAAGCTATCAAGCCTCCAACGATGCTTGTGGGTTTTCCGACGTTGAGAATCTTGTTCGGCTGCAGGAGAGCTTAAAGGGTCAGGCGTTGGAAAACGTTCGAGGACAGCTACTGTTTCCAAAATCGGTGCCGAAAGTCATAAGCAAACTTCGTCAGCTGTATGGACGCCCGGAACAGTTGCTACAGTGTCACCTTGAGAAAGTGCGGCGATTGGATCCTCCGAAGTCAGACAAATTGGCGTCATACATTCCATTCGGTAATGCTGTGGAGCAATTATGCGAGCATCTAGAGGCAGCGGGTTTAGAGCAGCACCTGGTTAATCCTCTTCTTATCCAGGATCTTGTCGATAAGCTTCCGGCCCATGATAAGCGTGAATGGGTTCGCTACAAAAATCGGAAAAGGAAGGTGAACCTGCGTACTTTCACCGATTTTGTGTCGAAGATTGTTGCAGAAGCTTGCGAGGCCAACGTGAAGATGGATTTCAGAGCAGAATCGAAGCCAGTTTGCAACGAGCACGCCGGAAAGAGCAAAGCGAAGGAAAAGGGAGCTCATTTATACAATCACAGTGCAGTGGAGAGGGCCAACCCCGGCGTCGGCGAGAATCATCCGAGACCGTGCAAAGCGTGCAAGCGGACCGATCATCGTCTGCGATTCTGCCAGGATTTCAAGGCTTAGACACTTCGGGACCGTTTGAAGTTGGTCGAAAAGTGGAAACTCTGCGTTGTCTGCCTCAATGATCACGGTAACGCTCCGTGCAAATTCAAGATCCGGTGTAACATCGACGAATGTCGGGAACGTCACAATCCTCTATTGCATTCCGCCACCGGATCCGTGGTAATCAACGCACACTTTCGAACCACCAGTACCATCATGTTCCGTATGATACCAGTGACATTGTATTTCGGTAAGCGGTCGGTTAATACGTTAGCGTTTCTGGACGAGGGCGCATCAGTGACCCTGATAGAAAGTTCCCTGGCGGATCAGCTAGGTGTTCAAGGAACGAAGGAACAGTTGACCATCAAATGGACAGCCGATATCACGCGCGTGGAGAAGGGATCCCGACGAATGGACTTGTTAATTTCCGGACGAGATGGGAAGGAGAAACATCAACTCGGCACGGTTCGAACTGTTGACGAGCTGCTACTACCGAAGCAATCCCTAAGTGCGTCGGTGCTCTGTCAGCGGATGAAGAAACTGCAAGGGTTACCGATTGCTTCGTACGAAAACCAACGCCCGGGGCTATTGATCGGTCTGAACAATCTCCACTTGCTTGCACCGACTGAAGCAAAGGTTGGTAAGCCTGGTGAGCCAATAGCGGTGCGGTCCAAGCTAGGATGGGCAGTGTACGGTCCAAATGAGGTGCAGCTATCAAAAGCGGAAGTGTATCTGGGACATCACGATGAAGTAAGCAATCAGGAGCTGCATGATCTGCTGAAAAGTCAGTACGCTTTAGAGGACTCCGTAGTGGTGAAGCTGACAGAATCGGAAGATGATAGAAGAGCTCGTGAAATCTTGGAGCGGACCACCAGAAGAGTGGGCGATCGATTCGAGACCGGCCTACTGTGGAAGGAAGGAGAGCCAGAACTTCCAGATAGTTATCCGATGGCCACGCGCAGGATGAAATGTTTGGAGCAACGACTGCTGAAGTCACCAGCGCTGTTCGAAAACGTTTGCAAGCAGATCAAGGAGTATCAGCAGAAGGGCTATGCGCATCTGGCAAGTGCCGAAGAATTAGAAGAAGCCGAACCGGGAAAAGTTTGGTATCTTCCACTCAACGTCGTCCTTAACCCAAAGAAACCGGGAAAAGTACGACTCGTGTGGGATGCAGCAGCAAGTGTGAAAGGAATATCCCTCAATTCCTTACTTCTCACAGGACCTGATTTGCTGGTATGTATACTCACCGTATTTTGCCAATTTCGCGAACGACCGATCGCTTTCGGTGGAGACATCCGCGAAATGTACCACCAGATGCAGATTCGTCCAGCCGACAGACGAGTACAGCGATTCGTCTTCCGATCGAATCCCAGAGAAGCACCTAGTATTTACGTTATGGACGTAGCTACTTTCGGATCGAAAAGTTCTCCATGTTCCGCCCAGTTCGTAAAGAACAAGAACGCGATGGAGTTTGCTGTACAGTATCTGGAAGCCGCCGCAGCAATCGTGAAGAAACACTACGTCGACGACTACTTCGACAGCGTTGATACCATCGAAGAAGCGATACAGCGGGCAAAGCAGGTGAGATTTATACATTCGAAAGGGGGATTCGAGATAAGAAACTGGGTATCCAATTCGGAGGAAGTCCTAGTCAGTCTTGGGGAACCGAAACCCGTCCAGACGATTCATTTCAACCAGGACAAAGAGACTGGAAATGAACGCGTACTCGGTATAATTTGGAATCCAGGTCAAGACGTTTTCTCCTTCTCGACTGAACACCGCGAAGATCTACAAGAGTACCTGCAGGGTCATAAGACACCAACGAAGCGCATTGTACTGAGTTGTGTCATGGGGTTCTTCGATCCGTTGGGACTACTCTCATGCTTCACCGTACATGGAAAGATCTTGGTTCAGGACTTATGGCGAACGGGCTGCGAGTGGGATGAAGAAGTCGACGATGCATGCTTGGTCAAGTGGAAGCAATGGACGGATCTCTTGCCGTTAGTGGAGAGGGTTCGCATTCCGCGCTCATATTTTGGACAGACGCGGTCATCCGAAATTAACAGGCTTGAGCTGCACATCTTCACGGACGCTAGTATACAGGCATATGGCTGCGTGGCCTACTTTCGTGCAATGGTAGACGGTGAAATTAAATGCCTGTTGGTGATGTCTCGATCAAAAGTAGCCCCTCTTAAGTTACAATCCATTCCGCGGTTGGAACTGATGGGAGCTGTCCTCGGTGCAAGAATGTTACAAACGATCAAATCCAACCATTCGCTTTCCATAAACCGTTGTTTTCTTTGGACAGATTCGCAAACAGTTATGAGTTGGTTGCGTTCGGATCAACGAAAATACAAGCAGTTCGTTGCATTCAGGGTTGGAGAAATTTTGGAGACAACCAGCTCAACGGATTGGCGATGGATTAGATCTCGGATGAACCTGGCTGATGCACTAACGAAGTGGGGACAAGGTCCTCCATTGGATTCAGAAGGAGAGTGGTTTAATGGTCCAAATTTCCTGCACCAACCAGAAGATTGCTGGCCGACCGAGGGGTTGCCGGATGCAAACACTGAGCAGGAAATGAAAGCATACTTGCTGCACCATGAAGTGAAGGAGTTTCCAGAACCCGTGATCGATGCAGAAGTGACATGGCGCTGGCGTAAGTTGTTGCGAATCACAGCTTGCGTAATCAGATTCATTACAAATCTTCGACGCAAGGTAAAGGGCTTTCCGTTACGAACGATGGTGGCGAACGAGAGGCAACAACAGCTACTTAAGGCGGAATACAATGTTGTACAGCGACCACTGCAGCAGGACGAATTTTCGAGAGCGGAAGTGATTTTGTGGAGGCAGGCGCAGTTGGAGGCGTTCCCAGATGAAGTAATGGTACTCCTGGGAAATGGATCACTCAAAGCGAATCAGAAGCCAGAGCAGATCGGGAAGAGGAGCCCATTATACAAACTCACCCCGATCGTAGACGAGTGTGGCGTGATTCGAATGAATGGTAGGATGGCGAAGTCAGACGAAATCCCGTTCGATATGAAGTTCCCGATTATCCTTCCGAAAGGACACGCAGTGACGAAACGATTGGTACAATATTACCATGAAAAGTTTGGACATGCAAATCGGGAAACGGTCTTCAACGAGCTTCGACAGAAGTTTTATATTCCGAAGTTGCGAACGGAAATCCAGCAAGTGATGAGAAAGTGTGTCTGGTGTAGAGTGAATCGCTGTTATGCTGAGGTCCCGATGATGGCTCCACTTCCGGTTCAGCGAATCACCCGACAGCTTCGACCTTTCAGTGCTGTTGGAGTCGATTATCTAGGACCTGTGGAAGTGACGGTTGGTAGAAGAAAGGAGAAGCGGTGGATCGCCCTGTTCACGTGCCTTGCTGTACGTGCGGTGCACTTGGAAGTAGTGCATGGATTGACAACGCAAGCATGTCTCATGGCCATTCACAGATTCATCTGCAAACGAGGAGTTCCAGACGAAATCTTCTCCGACAACGGGACAAATTTCAAGGGAGCCAGCAAGGAGTTGATTGCTTGGGTGAAGCGAATTGACAGTGAATGTGCGGATTCAGTGACGAGTAGCACAACGAAGTGGAACTTCAATCCTCCTGGTACGCCACACATGGGTGGTATTTGGGAGAGGATGGTTCGATCTGTAAAGGAGGCGATGAAGGCACTCGACGATGGCAGACGTCTGACGGACGAAATTCTATTAACTACCCTGGCTGAAGCGGAAGATATGGTAAATAGTCGTCCGCTAACGTACGTACCCCAGGAATCAGCTGATTCCAAAGCACTAACACCGAACCATTTTCTTCGAGGTACGGTCAAGTCCGTCGATGTTCACGTAGATGGTTCGGTGGACTTAGCAGAAGCGTTGCGCGACATTTACAAGCGATCGCAGTACTTGGCGGACCAGATGTGGCAGCGTTGGTACAAGGAGTACTTGCCAACGATCAACAAGCGTACCAAGTGGTTTGCTGAGAGGAAGTCATTGAAGAAGGGAGATCTCGTGTTTGTAGTAGATGGACAGAACCGGAAAAGCTGGGTTAGAGGTATTGTCGAGGAAGTCTTCGTAGGATCAGACGGCAGAGTTAGGCAGGCGGACGTACGGACAGGCAAAGGTGTATTCCGGCGTGGAGTAGCCAACCTTGCAGTGCTGGAAGTTCTTGATGGTAAATCCGGAACCACTGATGAACGGGTACCGGAGTTACGGGCTGGGGTGTGTTGACACCACTGGGCTTCAGCTGTACTCGCGACCGGCCTGCCGTGAAGTGAGATGTGAGAAGCGAGATGTATGCGTCACCGGTCTACAGCGGTAGGACCGTCGTTGATTGTTTACATCGATTCGTGGAGAAGTAGAACGGAGGATACAAACAAAAACAAACCCAAGAGATAGTGGAGGAGCTCAGTTTTGTTTAATAAAGTTGTAAAATCACAAACAAATCTAAAGTTTAAATCAGTTTTCTGTGGAGGTGGTATTTTCTTAGTTTAGTGCTAAATAATCCGTAAGTAAACAAAATGAAATGCACTATACTTACTAGATGTGACATAAACTATTTCAATATTAGGGTTGACTTTCTAAATCGGATGATTACCTGCCAGAAGCTGAAGATACTATCAGAATAGTTCCGTAAACAAGTTGAATTAATTGATTGATTGTGAGTACCTATAAATAATAAGATTAGAAGCAAAACAATTAGAAACTAAACTTACCTATTTAGGACTAGTGTTGGAACTGAAAACAGCAGCATAACCAGTGTCGTAGCACGAGGGATTAGAGGGGACTATTTCTTGTAAGTAATTTAGTAATTAATTCAAGGTGAAATAGTTCTTTATTAAAAAATATATTACAGTTGAGCTGCTTGAAAAGTTGCTGCAAAAATTTAGTCATATTCTATAATTGATCCGAACAGGTATGAAGACCGGGACCTTACAATTAGAGTCGGATCCTTAAGATAAAGGCAAGAATAACAATTGTCTGAAAACCGAATACTTCGTCATTTCTCAATAGTGATGGAGTAATATGACATGCACTAAACTAAGGACACGCGGTATAGCACAATAGATCAAATAACTGGTCACAGTGGAAACTAAACCCAAACACAGGAAAAAAAGCTACACTTTCATGTATAAAAGGCGTTCCAAGACAACCAGAACTTTCACGATGTTTTCAGCAAATATGTCGGAGTAAGTTCATATATTGTATTCAAGATGATCCATCTCCATGTCAACGTGAGTTGTGGTGGATAGTCTAAGTAGATTATATGATCTATACTGGTGGACAATTTGGTGAACCTAGAAAACCTTATGTACATGCAAATGGATCCCGATTAGGCATATATATAGTTAATAGGAACTTTGATATTTGTTCAATTTCAATTCATAACATTGCAAAGAGAACATATTTGAATAAGTATACATTATGCAAATGGCAGCTGAATATATTGTCTAACTGTCAGATTTTCGGGAACTTACCACTATCAGATGCAATGTACATTTATGATTTTTTTGGAATTTCAGGCCCTTTGAACATACAGAAATTTATTCTTATTTAGGTGCCTTAATTTCATGTGATACAAAATGTTGAAAACCTTATAAGATAATACAAAATTAAAGGCTGAACAAATTACACTAATTATTATAATCATTATAAAATAAACACGCCCACGCCCACGTCCACCAGCACAGAAAAGCCCAGCAAAGATCAGCACCAAAAAATTATCCCAACATTGTTGCTCCATTCCACCACTAACCGGAGACTGTTAATAAATGCGATCTCATTCAAATCGATACAAGAAAACAGCGAGTAAAAACTGCTTCCGCTTACTGTGATCCTGAACCCTATCAACAACAAAAAAAAAAAATGCCAGGCATCAGGTAAACTGGAGAGAAAAAAAAAACTGTCTCTTCCAGTTACAACTCCACCATTGCATTGCAGACGTATCGCAAGGAAAACGACACAAGGTGTTAAAATATTCCCCTTTTTCTTGTGCTCAAGCCCTCTGCGAAGATTAAAGGTAGTTTTTCTGAAGAAAAAAAGGAATCACCGGATAGCGAATGAGCGCCTCCATCATTTGCTGCCGGTGTATGTGTAAGTAACTATGTGTGGCGCGCGAGTTGGTCGTTTGTCACGTGGAACGGAAGTGCATACCTCAAGGGGCTCAAGCGAATGAGCAAGGAAGGCATTGTGAGGAAGAGAACCGAAATTTATGTGCGCACCGTCTCCCTTGGGTGAAATTTCCACGCCTGCTGCAACGAAGGATGTTTTGTGATGTCGGTACAATCATACCTAGCATATAAGAAGAGTATGGTTTTCCTTGTGTGGTACACCCAACCGGGAAATGTAAGATTCTATTACAGTTTCTATAATGTGGTCGCCGGAAGGTTTTTAAAATGATTTTGAAATTTTTATGTTAGCTTACTTTTCGAACAAAGTTTGTGTCCCCAAGTGCATTGCGTTTAGAAAATCGTGTCATAAAAATTCAACTTTTCATTGGATGTAAGCGACATTTCTTTTGCGTGTAGCAACGTGAGAGGGCTATCTATATTTACCTGACGTGTGTCTGTTTCTTTGCAAGCTCCTGCAAGGTTCGTATGGACTTTTTATCGGGTGCTGAATGTGATATTAAGCAAGAAATAGCGTGGGGAGATATATTAAAAGCGTCGTTGATTTGAACGATAATTCCCTTTGACTGGATGGAAGAGTAGGGTGCGAAACGGGGAGAAGCCTGAAACAATGTACTCCGGTGTGTGGAAAACAGCAGGAGGGTCGGTCCGATGGGCATTGGCTGTGGCGGGCGGAAGCATATTTCCATCTGAAAAGAATCTATTTATAGCAGCGCTCATGCCAAACAGTTTTACTTTTCCACGTCCGTCCATGATGGAAAACATCGGCCGGCAATCTGTGAAGTACATCCAGGAATATCCTGTGCCTACCGTATAGCACACGGATTGTTGCCACAAAAGCACACGGCATACGAGAAATATGGTCCAATCGAAGAGTGAGAGAGCTTCCGTTGCATTGGAACGTGGCTCAACATCACGTGCACAGAAGGGGTCCAACAAAGATAATGGGGGCCTCCCATCTTTCCACTCACGCTACTGGCAGAAGCCACACGATCAGGAGAAATTTTCAACATACCAAACAACCATCTAAATTCAATAAGCTACAACGTTGGACAGTAGTTTGTAGGTCCGTTGTATTCCGTGGTTCACAGATTGTTTGTGTTGCCGGGGGAATTTAGATTATGAAAAATCAATAGCTTTATGAAGCGTGTATTGAGCTTGAACGCATTGAAGCCAAAAGCACATTTGGTGACGGCTTGGTGTTGCATGGCGAGAGAGGGGGCAGGTTTGTGGAGAATACATGAATTTATTTATATTTGAGCAAGTATTGGCAATTATACTTCATGTGTGATTCGCTTAACGACTTAATCCCTTCGGTTATGGGCATGTTCGGTAGTGGCAGCTTTTGTTGGAAGCGTTCCTGTGTGTAACAATGGCCACCAACCGCCATAGAATGGCAAACGACATCGATGGGATGGTTTTGTGTGGGTAGGTATTGTTAATGTATGACAATCGTGTGAGCGATAAATTAGGAACAATTTACATCATTGCTCGATTATGAACACTTTCACGGCCTTAGCTGGTTCATTTACAATTATAATATGTTACTAGTACAACAGCTGATACCGATAGCTAAAATAGTGACCCTAGTTTGAACAGTGGAGCTACGGGGTGTTCTGATCTATTTGCATAAATATCGCAAACAATTCCTTCATAATAAATAAATCAGGGAAGAATACATACCGATTTCATTGGGATGTAAATCATACTAATTTGTGTTATGAACTCGGTTTGAAATTTACAAAGTTTTTTAATGATTTGTTTTTAGTTGAATCAAAATATTTGTCGTCTTAAGAATCTGATAGGGTAAATTTCGGCTTAGTCAATACCTTTACCTATTTTCGTTGCGGGGTAAATTAAGTCCATAAGCGGCCAGTTTTGGTCAAACGTTGCCATGAAGCATGATGAATTCTCATGCAAAAAAAAAAAATAGAGATCATTGACTTCATTTACCCCCTGACGATAATAGGTGAAGGTATTGGCTAAGCCGAAATTAACCCTATCAGATTCTTAAGACGAAATCACTATTACAAATTAAATGTATTGTAAATCCACATAAAAACGAAACGCTTGTAGGGTAGAGAACTACTTCGGCCTAATCGCCCATTTTGGGCCTATCGAGCAGAAAACTTCAAATAAGTCCATGAGTTCAGAGTTAACAAGTCAATTATGCGTTTGGTACGATACTTTAGTTAATAAGCTACCGAACGAAGTCAATGAGGACGTGTGGTATGAAGGTTTGCATCCATTATTCCCAAAAACAAAAGAAGCGCTCCGGCCGAATCAATTTTTATCTTCATCCGATAGGCCGAAGTGAATTCATAGGCGTTTCAATGCGTTAGGCCAAGTTTGGAATCCGTAGGCCGAGTTTGTCGTCAAGAAGCAGTGTTAGACTTTTGACAATATCTCAACGATTGATTTATTTTTATCAAATCTTACGGTACGTACGGAAAGGTAAATACATTTGGAAGCCATCAGTGATAATAACATTCCGTTTGGTGCTAAACTGCGCTAGATTAAGAAATACTAAGTGCGAGGTGTGCTTAATAGGCCGGAAATGGGGTAATTAACCTTATACAAGCTGCCTTCCAAAATTCATTTTTACCGCCACTGCAAACGTTCACTGGTTTGTGAGACTCGTTGTACAGTCCAAGGTTCGAATCCGACCATTGTCTCTCGTAAAAAAATCAATCGAACCAGAAATAGATTGAAACGAGACAGTTTAATCAATCGGTATGAGCGAGAAAGAGATAGAGTTTCAATCGGCTCAAGTTCGTAGTTGATGAGATTTGTCGTTCAAAAGGGTCGTTAATTACTTCGGTAATTGACGTACTTCACGATCTGAGAGTTTTTGAAACGTCCACTCGTTTATTTTGACCTGGACCGTGGAAGAGGTGAGAGTGCGTGAAATAGTTCTAGTGGCTCTTCTTTCATCGAACAACTCCTCACCGGGAAGCGATATGATTAAATTCAATCTTCTGAAAAATCTCCCAGATATCGCTAAAAGACGTTTGCTAGACTTATTCAATTCCTTACTAGAAAACAACATTATACCGCTTGAATTGAGACAGGTCAAAGTAATAGCCATTCGAAAACCTGGCAAACCAGCGCACACTGGGGACAAAATCGAAACAATGTGTTAAAATTCAATAACTTCGGTGCTCGCTGGAACAAGAGACTAAAAATAGTCATTCTTATAGAAAAAAGTCTCAGAAATCGATTGGAGTGGGTTTCATCTTGGGCACGATAGGGTAAGTTGGGGTTTTTCACAGTTTTGCCCTAAAATCTCCTATTTTGCATGATTTGAATGCTGTATCTCAAGATACCGATGATATAGACGGATGACTTCTTCGGCAAAGTTGATCAGGAGGCCAAGGACTGTTGCATGATGGACAGAACAATTCGGAATTCCTCCACTAGGCGGCGCAAGTGAGCATTTGAAGTGAATATGTTTGCGCTGCTGTATCTCAAGATCCTGACTATTTAGACGGATGATTTCTTCGGCAAAGTTGATCAGGAGGTCAAGGATTGTTGGATGATGGACAGAAAAAATCGGAATTCCTCCGCTAGTTAGTGCTATATATGATCTTCTCTGGCTATTACGTCCCAACTGTAACTTAACATAGTTGAAGATGCTAATGTAACTTAACGCCTGCTCTCAACTTAGTGCTCTAGATGCACTTCCACAGTTGTTAATTGAAAGCTTTCCAAGCCTGTTCGATTTTTACATGTGTATATTGTGTGACAAGTACAATAATATACTATGTCCAGGGAAGTCGAGAAATTTTCCAATCTGAAATCCTAGAACAACCGGGATTCGAACCCAGCCACCTCCAGCATGGTTTGCTTTATAGTCGCAGGCTCTACCGACCGAGCTTATGGAGGCCCCCTGATCTATGAACGTAATCAAAC